AAGGAGACAAATTTAGAGAAGAAAATGTTTCGGACACTACCCGGATTCGAACCCGGGACCTTTGAATGAGAGGCCAACACCTTAACCTCTAGTCCACGAGAGCCCCCTTGTGGGTCATTGCCAAGGATAAACGTTTTGTCATCCTTCAAAGATATTAATTGTCAACTTGACCTTTTTTTAAACATTGCTTACAAACCTACAGAAATGTGTTTAAACAAAATTAGGAAATGTATTATGTTCTGTTTTGCTTAACTCACCATCATTTAATGAGGACATGTGAATGGCGTCAGTGCGACTGACACTGTCCCCGCCCCGTGACATCATCAGCGTTGACATGCCCCGTCCATGCGCATTGTGACGTCCGTAGCCACGCCTACATATCGTGCGCCAGAAGACTCGACGGAACTTGGTGCTGATGGCGGAGTACAAGATAAAATTGATGGACGCGTTGATTTGAATAAGCAAATTGATGACATTTCCGGCAATCCTCAGATTGTTCCCGAGTTCCCGCGACATTTTCACGGCTGCCAGAGAGAGATAAGTCGTGTACAACAGCAATAGCGCTCCAGGGAGTTGACACAGGATAAATACGAGCACCACAGTGATGAGCATTTTGGTGATCTTCTGCTGCTCTTTCGGTTGAGAGTTTCCCCCCTTGCTGTCGCCAGCTGATGACGAATGGCAGGGGGAGAGATGCGTCATTTCACGACGCAGTTTGGCCGCTTTGATGACGGTGCAGATGAGGATCCCGTTGAAGACACAGAGTAGAATGAGCGGCAGGAGGGTGAACATGACCACGAGGAACCAGTAGTATCCAACCTGGTAGCTCTCGCGGTTGGCAAAATCCGTGTAGCGGATGGTCGGGTATGTCTCATTGTTCTGCCCAGTTTCGATGACCACCTCGCGTTCCCAGAACTCTGGCACTGTGCACAGGATGGCCAGTGTAGAAACGACTGCGGTCACAATTTTGGCGCGTTGGGGCGTACACAATATCCGACCTGAGGAGGCAGAGATGATAATTATACAATTGTTAGGTTATTTTGGTGGATGATAATGGGTAAAGCAAGAATCCTTCTTCGTTCTCACTTCTCCCTTCTCTCTTCTTGAACACCACTTCTCTGTCTGCCTGGCTGACAGCCCATCTGTCTGTCTGTCTGTCTGTCTGTCTGTCTGATGCATGTGTCTTTTTTTCTCCCTCACTCTCTCGTTCATTCTCTCTCTCTCTTTCTCTTTCTCTCTCTCTCTCTCTCTCTCTCTCTCTCTC